AAAAAAAAAAAAAAAGTAGGAGTTTCCTGGTTTTTGTGTATGTTAGAGGGAAATAAATACATTTAACAATGGCTATTTTATACTAAGGTGCATATCTAAATTTGTTACAAAGCTGTCCTGATAAAATATCACTGTTATGCTGAGGATGTGTGGCTCCTGATTCAAAGTTTTTTTCTGTTACTATTCTACAGGAAATCAGCTACTAGAACGACCATGCTTGATACAAATAACAGCCCTCTAACTATATTTTAGATTCCAAAGTGCTCGCTATTGAGATGAAGTTATGATAGTTAATATTACAGTTAAGCTCACCGCTCCTACTGTACTACAGATGTCACTGACCTCTTCTGGGTGTTCAACCACCAGAGTGCGGAGACCAACACTAAAAGGTAACTAGAGCCGGGTGTGGTGGTGCACACCTGTCATCCCAGCACTCGGGAGGCTGAGGCAGGAGGCTCGCTGTGAGCTCAAGACCAGCCTGGGCTACATAGTTCCAGGTCAGTCTCAAGTACATAGTGAGACCCTGTAAAAAAAAAAAAAAAAAAAGAAAAAGATAAAAGATTCAAACTATGTGAGGAATTGTACAATTCGGGAGAAAAAAAACAAAAATTTTTCTGTTACCTCCAAACTGTCAGTCGTCTGGTTTCCATTCTAGGAATAATGACTTTTACCAATGTCGGTGGGTTTATGTTCCCAGAAGTGGTCTCTGTTTCATAACACACGAGGGAGTACTGCATGTTTATTATTTATTTTTCCAGGGTCGGAAATGGGGGCAGAACGTCTTGTTCCAGATTTGCACCGTTGATGCTTCAAGGACCATCTCTACTCACTTATTTGTACATGTATTAAGAAAATAAACATGTTTCCGCTTAATGAATTTCAAAAAGGGCTGGGCGTTTAGCTCAGTGGCGCTGCAAGCACAAGGTTCTGAGTTCGACCCCGGCACACACACACACACACACACACAAAAGCCACCATTTTAAAAATAAATTACAAAATGCTTACATTGTACTTTTGATTTTATTTTTGGGAAGCGAACTCAGGTCCCTGCGCTTGCGAGGTAGGTGGTGGCACCACTGAGCTAAATCCCCAACCCCCTATTTTCTTCATTTACTTAATCCCAGCTCTCATTCATCAGCCACGGCCAGGATGTAAAAGTCGCCATCTCTTGAGTGCTTCGGCTTCCGGCGATGCGGGTCCGCATCGTGTCAGTCGTGTTTCCACAGATTGCGCGGCTCTTCTCGAATATCTGTGCCCTTGGGCAAACCAGGCCCCGGCCCCTCGTGTGCAAACCGCTGACCCCGCCCTCCAGAGTCAACACGCCGGCATCTCCCGCT